GTTCTTTCTCTCTCCCTTGCTCGGAAGCCCAACTGTCTACGGTCGCTTCCCGCTCTCTTTTTGTGGACCACTTCCACTCTCATTCTCATGCCATTGGAGTGTACACAGATGGCTCTAAGTCTTCTGACGGTGTAGGATTCGCAGCAGTGTTTCCAGACAGCGTCGTACGAGGGCATTTACTGTCTTCGACTAGTATTTTTACTGCTGAATTGTATGCCATTCTTGCAGCACTTATCTGTATTGCATTTATGCCTGACCTTCCAGTTTCATGTAGAGGTATTCCATTTACGGACTATTTTGCTGCAATAGCTACCCACCTTCACACCCGTTGGCAACAACGTTGGTCTACTCTGCTCAGTAACAAACTTCAGTCTATTAAACCGAGTATAGGTTACTGGCCGTCTTCTTGTCACCAGTGTCGAGGTTGGGAGACTACTCTCTCCCATCTTCGCATTGGCCATACTCGTCTTACTCATGGATATCTCATGGAGAGGCGCCCTGCTCCTCTCTGTGAGAACTGTCAGGTTCCATTATCAGTCAGCCACATTCTGTTAGACTGCCCACTTTATCAACGAGCGCGCAGAATTTACCTCTGTCAGCGTCTTCGCTCCGCTGCTCTCTCTTTACCTTCCCTTCTCGCTGATGGACCCACCTTTCATCCGGACTCTCTCATTGACTTTTTGACAACAACTGACTTACTCCACAAACTCTGATGTTGATACCTTCAGCCCTTTCTACCTCAATCTCTTGCTACCCTCTACCCCCGCACTATCCCCTGCCCCGCTGTTTTCTGTAACCTACTAATCATCCCTCCCCCCTTCTGCCGCCCGATACCCTCGCTTCCTTCCCTACCCCTGCAGCGCTGTTTAGCCCTTGTGGCTTAGTGCTTCTTTTTTATTATAATAATAATAATAATATAGGTATGTGGCATAAGCATGGCAGTGGCAAGGAATAAATACATTTCATCCACTGTTTTATCTTTCCATCTGTGCAGCTGTGACGATTCCCCAACCTCTGGTGTATTGTCCATGATATAGCGGTAATAATTGTTCATCTGGGTCACTATCAAGTTCATTATAGGCTCGTCAAAGTATGACTGGAAAAAGTCTAACTCTGTAGACTCATTCGTTATGGGACATTCTGGCAGGATGCCACTCCCACTCGCATCAAAATCAAAAGGCTCTGGCACGAATATACGTACTTTGTGTCCAGTTCCACTCTCGGTCACATGGTGCAGGGTGGACCTCTGGCATGGGGTGTGGGGGAGCAGGAGGGGGGACAGGAGTGGAGGCAGCACATGGTTGAGGGGGTGCCAGGCGGTCCTTTGTTTGTCCACCCACTGCGCCATGTGGTCTAGGCACCATGCCACCCACCACTATTTCCTCCATCCCCGCATATTCACCTTCATGATCACTTTCACTATCAGTGGCAGGGGTTTTGAATCGTGACCTGCCACGACCCTTGCCGCCGACTGCAAATGGCACACTGCCTGAACATAGGTAATGACGCCTAAAAGTACGCTTCACGGGTGAATATGATCATTGTCACTAGACGAATCCTCGAATGGCATAAAATCAATCTCATCATCACTTATATCACTTTCACTATCACTAAAACACCGGGAAAATGATAGTTTCCTCTTGCGTAGTTGCCTATGTGTAACACTCGCCACTCCAGAGGTGCTTGGCCCAGGGTCTTGTGTGGCCACACTGGCCACCTCAGAAATGCTTGCCCCAGGGTCTGGTGTGGCCACACTGGCCACCCCAGAAGTGCTTGGCCTAGGGTCTGGTGTGGCCACACTGGCCACCCCAGAGGTGATGGGCTGAGGGTCATCTGGGTTATCGTCTGTATTTTCACTATTTCCTTGATTATTAGTAGCCACATCTGCATCAAATCCACTAAACTGACGTTCCATATCACTTTCCTCGAATAATAGAGTGTTAATATGACGAGGCGTGAGTGAATCACGAGGATGTGCCATGATGTCGACCCAAGATGGAGCTGAATGTAACTGGTCCTACCATGCGGTACCCATGCGCCCCGGATTTTTTTGATACTGCGCACACTGAGTGCGCAAATCCATTTTCTCATGTCTAGGCGACTCAGGCCTATCATGCCAATTTTGAAGGAATGAAAAATAAAATGTAAATATACTTTTGGGGCAGTAGCGGTATAAAAACGTATATATATGTTTGGACCATTTACGGGTTAATAGCCTGTCTGGATTACTGAATATCACCTCAAGACTTTTCCCCCTCCCTAGTCTAATACAAAGTGTATAATTACTTATTCATATTTACAGGAGCTGAGCTATGCTTTTTGCATTGCCATTGAGGGTGCTAAAAAAACTGTTTTGTATTTCATGACTTTGTATCTGGTTATCATATATTCTCTGTTCCTCCTTTTTCAAATGAAGGTACACTAGAACCTCTCATATGACATTGGTTACATTCCTTAAATCATTATTGTATGAAAAAAATTGTAATATGTAGAGTATAAAACATGGGAACAGTAGGGTTATGTTCTTTGTCCCTCAAAACAAAACAAATTGTTTTAAAATTTCTTCTGCCAAAAATATAAAAGTTCTTGATACCTTATATTGTAGATGTAATTGCTTGTTGATCTATGAATGCATGGAGGTTAGTGTGGCCATACTAGGCCATTTGGAAGTAGTAGGAACGAAAATAGAATTTTTTTGTTTTTAACTCTTCGGTCGTCTCCCACCGAGGCAGGGTGACCCAAAAAGAAAGAATATCCACAAAAAGAAAACACTTTCATCATCATTCAACACTTTCACGTCACTCATACATAATCACTGTCTTTGCAGAGATGCTCAGATACAACAGTTTAGAAGTCACTCCAAACTGCCAATATCGCAAACCCCTCCTTTAACTCTTTGATTGCCGTGACCCCAAATCCTAAAGTGTGTCTGTGTGCCGCAAAATATTCGAAAAAAAAAAAAATTTTCTTATCAAAATGTTGAGACTAATATGCTGATTGTTTTAAGCCCCCAAAAATTTTTTTTGTGGTCAGTACTTACTGAGATATAAAGGCATAAAGTTGGCAGAAAATGAGCCTCGTATGGCAACAGCAGTGAATGCCGCTCACATGATAGAATTATTTTTACTCCCATTCATAGGTTCCTTGTATTTTCCAATATTTTATTTTTTTCAAGTACAGTGGACCCTTGGGTAACGGCATTAATCCGTTACAGAGAGCTCGCCTTTAACTGATTTGGACATTAGCCGAATTAATTTTCCCCATAAGAAATAATGGAAATCCAATTAATCCGGTCCAGACACCCAAAAGTATTAAACAAAATAAATTTTTTTACATGAAATATACATTTCCCTACACAAAAACAATGAGACATGCACGGTAAACAATACTGAAATGACACTTACCTTTATTGTGGACTTGTTGATGAGTGATGAGACGGAAGGAGGGGAGAGGATGAAGGTGTACTATTGTTTGGAAGGGGAATCCCCTTCCATGAAGACTTCAGGTAACGAGTCCTTTTCTGGGATTACCTCCCTTCTTTGTTTTTTAATGCCAGTAGGACCAGCTTGAGAGTCACTGGACCCCTGTCGCACAAAATATCTGTCCAGAGAGCTCTGTTTCTGGCGTCTCTAAGATTTCCCTAAAATGGAACACAAGAGTGTCATTGTACATGTTGCCAATATGGCTTGCAACAGCTGTGTCAGGATAATTTTCATCCATAAAGGTTTGCATTTCAACCCACTTTGCACAAATGTCCTTAACCCGTAAACGGTCCAAACGTATATAGTATACGTTTTTTCAACATTTGAAAGTATGTAAAAAAAGTAGATCTTTTTGTTTTTTTTACATTTGAAAATGTGTAAAAAAACTTTGATCTACTTTTTTTTTTTGTTACATTTGAAAATATGTAAAAAAACATAGATCTACTTTCGTAGCACTACACGTGAACGTAGATCTGCTTGGACCGTTTACGGGTTAATCTTTGACAAAGGCAACTTCCTCTATCTCTCTTCCTCCTCCTCTGAAGCACATTCCTGATCTGTGATCTGTTGCTGTTGCACCTGAAGCTCTTGCAGCTCTGTAGTGGTTAGCTCTTCATCGTCATCCTCCACCAACTCTTCCACATCCTCGCCACTAACCTCCAACCCCATGGACTTCCCCAATGCCACAATAGATTCCACAACTGGCTTAGGCTCCTCAGGGTTAGCCCCAACCCCTTCAAAATCTCTCTCTTGTACACATTCTGGCCACAATTTTCTCTAAGGAGAGTTCAAAGTCCTGCAAGCCACTCCTTCCTAAGCCTTACCTATAAGGTTTATGCAACCAATTGATCTTTCCAGAACTCTCTTAGGGTCAATTCAGTGTCTGAGGTCACTTCAAAGCACTTTTGAAACACTGCTTTGGTGTACAGTTTTTTGAAGTTTGAAATGACCTGCTGGTCCATGGGCTGGAGGAGAGGAGTGGTATTAGGAGGCAAAAACTTCACTTTGATGAAGCTCAACTCCCCCACAATTTGCTCTTGCAAGTCGTGAGGATGAGCAGGAACATTGTCCATTACCAGGAGGCACTTGAGTTGCAATTTATTTTCCAGGACATATTTTTTCACAGTGGGGCCAAACACTTCATAGAACCAGTCAAGGAAAATGTCCCTAGTGACTGATGCCTTACTGTTTGCTCTCCACATCTCACACAATTTAGTTTTGACGACATTGTTTTTCCAGAACACTCTGGGAGTTTCAGAGTGATGCACGAGTAAAGGCTTCACTTTGCAATCTCCAGTAACATTACTACAAAACATAAGAGTTAGCATGTCTTTCATTGGCTTGTGTCCTGGGAGTGCCTTTTCCTCCTGAGTAATGTAGGTCCTGTTTGGCATTTTCTTCCAAAACAGGTCTGTTTTCTCACAATTGAAATCTTGTTGGGGTTTTAATTTTTCAGCCTCTATGTACCCCTTGAAGTCCTTCACATATTTTTCAGCTTTTTTTTTTTTTTTTTTTCAGAACTGGCAGTCTCACCATGCCGTACCACACTGTGTATGCCACTACGATTCTTAAATCTCTCAAACCAACCTTTGCTGGCTTTAAATTCACTAACATCAGCACTAGTTTAAGGCATTTTCTTCATTAGATCATCATGCAACTGCCTTGCCTTTTCACATATTATTGACTGAGAAACACTATCTCCTGATACTGTAATTGTTTCTGGATGATCCACACCAATAACAGTCTCTCCACATCTTCGAGTATTTGCGATGTCTGTTTTGTAAGCATACTTGCACCTTTCGCAACAACAGCTTCCTTGATTGCCTTTTTGTTGGCCAAGATAGTAGTGATGGTTGAATGGGGTTTGTTGTATAACCTGGCCAACTCGAAGACACGCACTCCACTTTTGTACTTTGCGATTATCTCTTTCTTTAATTCAATAGTATTTCTCACCCTTTTTACCACAATTGGTACTAGAAGCTTTCTTTGGGCCCATGGTGGCTTATTTTAGCAGTTACAAGCACTAAAAAGAATGGAATAATACAGAATGTATAGCATGTACATGTGGAATCATCTGGACTGGTACACTAGCTGAAGGCAGGGCAGCTCAGGCCGAGTGGGCAGGCGGGCACATTCGGGACGAATGCCCTTAACCAAATTCTTGGACGTTAGCCGAGCCGCTATCCAATTTTGGCGTTAGCTGATGCCACCGTTACCAGAGTCCACTGTAACTTATGTAGCCTGTGAGATCAGAATAAGGTGCAATGTACATATATACACTTGTATGCAACACAATAACCACACAAACATTATTATGATTATATTGTTTACAAAACTTGCTTACACAAACCAACAATACAAAAAATTGTTTATTACTATTGTTCTATAATATACATACAAATGTACAGTCACTGGACACTTTCCTAGAAGTGCTGCATCTTGTGGAATTCTTTGAACATGGTGTTATACATTAAACGAGTCTCTCTGCTTGTTTATTGGCAGGTTGTTGTGATTGTGCAAGTTGTTGTTGTGGTTGTGCAGGTTGTTATGGTTGTGCAGGTTGTTTTGGTTGTGCATGTTGTTGTGGTTGTGGTTGTGCAGGTTGTTGTGGAGGTTATTGTGGTGTGTGGGTGGTTGAAGCTGGCCTTTCTTGTGGATGAGCTGAGTCATGTACCCAGGCTGGTAGCCTGGGTACATGACACAGCATTACACCACTACCTGCTACAGCATGTATATACCATCCCAATTGTAACATTACCCATACCTTCCTACCGTCCTTCCTTTCTACCTTCTTTCCTTCCTTCCTACCTTCCTTCCTGCCTTCCTTCCTGCCTTCCTTCTTCTTTCTTTCCTCTCATCTCTTTCTTCCTTTCTTAATTCATTCATTCCTTCCTTCCTTCCTTCTGGTATCCTGGGCATTGTTTTCAGTCATAAACTCCGCAAAACCATGAACTTCATCTTCACTGACACTTCCATCAATGTTAGAGCTATCACTTGGGAAGAGAAGAGTCCCAAATTTGCCAGGGAGTCAGGTATTTCTTACAGCTAGGCATGCTCAACAAGGACTACTGAAATGGCATTCCCACAATGCACCACTGGCTCCCCAATTTTTTTTATACTGCACACACTGACCATGGAGACCCATCCTTTCACATGTGGGCTACCAGCTTTCTCCCGCTTGATTTGATTTGGCATATTGATATGTCAAAAACACTGGCTCATAAGATGTATATATACAGCTGAAACAGTCAAAGGGCTAAAGTGCAGGCATTGTATTTCCCATTTCCAGGACTCAAGTCCGGCTAACCGGTTTCCCTGAATCCCTTCACAAGATATTACCCAGCTCACACTCCAACAGCTCGTCAGATCCCAAAAACCATTTGTCTCCATTCACTCCTATCTAACACATATTATGTAGATTTAACCTAGGCCTACCCAGTAAAGTGAAATAATGTGACTGTACATATGGCTAAAAAGGTTACATAAACAGGGTAACTTGAATGAAGGGATTCAAGGAAACCAGTTAAGGAGAGTGTGGGTGTTGCATTCAGAGGGCTAAGCTGATAGCGTTGCCATCATACCTCTGGAAAGAGCAATTCAGTGAATGTGTTTGTGTCACCCTGCTCTTGTGGGAGATAGCCATTGAGTTAAAAAATAAAAATTTATCTTGCCTTCAATTCTGATGGCTGCTACCACCTACCAGCACTATGACCAATCATTACCTACCAACATCATCTTTCATTACCTACCAGTACCAGCATCATCGCCTATCACCATCAAATACTATCACCTGTCAGCACCTAAGACCACCATGTTTGGGAAGCTGGTTGTTAGTCTGTGTATTCCTTATCCACAGAGAATGGGCAGTGTGTAAAGGAGAAAATGGGGAGGGGCCCCTACTGGGTTATGGTGGATGGCTTTTATTTTCTGCTCCTTATATACATTGTTTTATTTAGCTGTAATAACCTCGATGACATTTTTTCATCACACTGTATCCTAGGTTACTCATGTCATATGCTCTTATGTTCTCATTGTCTAATTGAATGCATTGTTGATTGCGTAATGAAAGATCCCAAGCATGGAGGACAATCATGAGAGAGAGTTATGGTACACATCTATAAACCAACTGTATGGTTGTTTAAACCAAGTTAGGTCCCCCTTCCCTAAACAGTGGAGGTGCTGAGGAGGAAAATCATACGAAGGACCCAGCCACATTTCCAATTTTTTCCCAGATGTATGTCACAAACACTCAGACAAAATAAATAAATAAATAAATAACAAAAAGGCAATTGCAATTTTATATTATTTTTATTATTAACACATCTTCCATATGATATAGCACGTAATGAAAGTAGTTTATTAGATTATGTATTGGTGGATAAAAGGTTGATGGGTAGGCTCCAGGATGTACATGTTTATAGAGGGGCAACTGATATATCAGATCATTATTTAGTTGTAGCTACAGTTAGAGTAAGAGGTAGATAGGACAAGAGGAAAATGACAACAAGAAGTAAGGAGGAGGTGAAAATGTATAAACTAAGGGAGGAGGAAGGTCGGGTGAGATATAAGCAACTATTGGCGGAAAGGTGGGCTGGTGCAAGTATGAGTAGTGAAGGGGTTGAAGAGAGTTGGAATAGTTTTAAAAATGCAGTATTAGAATGTGGGGCAGAAGTTTGTGGTTATAGGAGGGTGGGTGCAGGAGGAAAGAGGAGTGATTGGTGGAATGATGAAGTAAAGGGTGTGATAAAAGAGAAAAAGGTAGCTTATGAGAGGTTTTTATAAAGCAGAAGTGTTATACGAAGAGTAGAGTATATGGAGAGTAAAAGAAAGGTGAAGAGAGTGGTGAGAGAGTGCAAAAGGAGAGCAGATGATAGAGTATGAGAGGCACTGTCAAGAAATTTTATTGAAAATAAAAAATTGTGGAGCGAGTTAAACAAGTTAAGAAAGCCTAGGGAACAAATGGATATGTCAGTTAAAAACAGAGTAGGGGAGTTAGTAGATGGGGAGATGGAGGTATTGGGTGGATGGCGAGAATATTGTGAGGAACTTTTAAATGTCGACGAAGAAAGGGAGGCTACAATTTCATGCACAGGCCAGGGAGGTATACCATCTTGTAGGAGTGAAGAAGAGCAGGATGTGAGTGTGGGGGAGGTGCGTGAGGCATTACGTAGAATGAAAGGGGGTAAAGCAGCTGGAACTGATTGGATCATGACAGAAATGTTAAAAGCAGGGGGGGATATAGTGTTGGAGTGGTTGGTATTTTTGTTTAATAAATGTATGAAAGAGGGGAAGGTACCTAGGGATTGGCAGAGAGCATGTATAGTCCCTTTATATAAAGGGAAGGGGAAAAAAAAATTGTAAAAATTATAGAGTAATAAGTTTACTGAGTATACCAGGAAAAGTGTACAGTAGGGTTATTATTGAAAGAATTGGAGTTAAGACAGAACGTAGGATTGCGGATGAGCAAGGAGGTTTTAGAGTGGGTAGGGGATGTGTAGATCAAGTGTTTACATTGAAGCATATATGTGAACAGTGTTTAGATAAAGGTAAGGAAGGTTTTATTGCATTTATGGATTTAGAAAAGGCATATGATAGCATGGATAGGGGAGCAATGTGGCAGATGTTACAAGTATATGGAATAGGTGGTAAGTTACTAAATGTTGTAAAAAGTTTTATGAGGATAGTGAGCCTCAGTGTTAGGGTGTGTAGAAGAGAGGGAGGAGTCTACTTCCGGTAAAGTAGGTCTTCGACAGGGATGTGTAATGCCACCATGGTTGTTTAAATATATTTATAGATGGGGTTGTAAAAGAAATTAAATGCATAGGGTGTTCGGGAGAGGGGTGGGATTAATTATGGGGAATCAATTACAAAATGGGAATTGACACACATACTGTTTGCTGATGATACTGTGCTTATGAGAGATTCTAAAGAAAATTGCAAAGGTTAGTGGGCGAGTTTGGGAGTGTTGGTGGAAGGTAGAAAGTGGATAGTGAACATAGAAAAGAGTAAGGTGATGAGGGTTCAAATGATTTAGATAAAGAAAAATTGGATATCAAATTGGGGAGGAGGAGTATGGAAGAAGTGAATGTTTTCAGATATATTGGGATGTTGACGTTTCATGGACATAGATTTATAGATGGATGAGGTTAATCATAAGAATTGATGAAGAAAAAGGCGAGTGGTGCATTGAGGTCTGATGTGGAGACATAAAATTTTATCTATGGAGGCAAAGAAGGAATGTATGAAGTATAGTAGTACCAACACTCTTATATGGGTGTGCAAGCTTGGGTTGTAAATGCTGCAGCGAGGACGTGGTTTTGGGCAGGCAGTGGAAATGTCCTGTCTAAGGGCATTGTGTGGTGTGATATTATGGAGAAAATTCGGAGGTGTGGAAATTAGGAGAGAAGGTTTGGAGTTAATTACAAGTTGGTGATACGGTGAAGAGGGGTTGTTGAGGTGGTTGGTCATTTGGAGACAACTGGATCAAAGTAGAAATGACATGGAGAGCATATAAGTCTGTAGGGGAAGGAAGGTGGGGTAGGGGTGTCCTGAAAAGGTTGGAGGGAGGGGGGTAAAGGAGGGTTTTGTGGGAGGGGCTTGGGACCTCCAGCAAGCATGCCTGAGCGTGGTTAGGGAGGTGAATGGAGACGATTGGTTACTTGGGACCTGTCGATCTGTTGGAGTGTGAGCTGGGTAATATTTTAGTGAGGGATTCAGGGAAACGGTTATTTTTTTATAGTCGGACTTAAGTCCTGGGACATGGGAAGTACATGCCTGCCACCTTCTTTAAAGGAGGGGTTTGGGATATTGGCAGTTTGGAGGGAATAATGTTGAGTATCTTTATAAGTATTGATTCTAAACTGTTGTATTCTGAGCGGCCTTTGCCAAAAACAGTGATTATGTGTGAGGTGAAAGTGTTGAATGATGAAAGTATTTTCTTTTTGGGGATTTTCTTTCTTTTTGGGTCACCCTGCCTCAGTGGGCGATGGCCCAACTGTTGAAAAAAAAAAAATCTTCCGTTTCCCATCCAAGGTAGGGTGGCCCAAAAAGAAAAACTTACACCATCGTCACTCCCCATCACTGTCTTGACAGTGGTGCACTTGCACTACCAGTTTTAATAACTACAAACATAACCCCCTTCTTTCAGGAGTGAAGGCCACTGTACTTCCATCTCCAGGACTAAAGTCCGGCCTGCCGTTTCCTGAATCCTTCATAAATTACAGTGGACACCCCCGCATACTGTTGGCATCACATAACGTTAAATCCGCATACAGTACTTTTTATCCACCAAGATTTTGCTCGCATAACCGCTAAAAAACCCGCTCAACGCTGTTCGTCCGAGGACGCGTATAATGTGTGCCCTTAGCCAGCCTCCAGTTCCGCGGTGGCAATTGTTTACCAGCCAGCCTCGATGGTAAACATCAAGATACAATTGGAACATTTCGTATTATTTCAGTGTTTATGCGTGATTTTATCTGCAAAATAAGTGACCATGGGCCCCCAAGGAAAGCTTCTAGTGCCACCCTACAGCAATAAGGGTTGAGAAATTACTATTTAGAGCTGATGAAAGTGATCATTTGAAAAGTATGAAAGTGGAGTGGTGTCTCCGTGCTGGCCAGGTTGTTATAGTAAACCCCAATCAACCATCGATACTATTGTGAGGGCCATCTTAAAGGGGGGCTCCTTGGGTGGGAAGAGGCTCTTGGTCTGAGGAATTTAGACCTATCGGTCTTCTTCATCAGACCGAACCTAATTACCCCCAATCTCCTCCCCTATCCATCCTCCACATCCTCCCTTTTTCCTTTCTCCTCCTCTCCCCATCCTCCCTTTTGCCCTTCCTCTTTTTGTCCTTTGGGATTTCTTCCACAGAGCGCGCTAGTTCCTAGGTAGGAGAAAGGACACGGGGTCCATCCCATTCCGTTGAGGTTTCTGGGCGGAGGCGTAGTTTGCCGTGGACTTGGATTGTTAGAGGATGTCCCGATCCCTCTCGGTATCCCGGGTAGCTTTGGGTTGTTTTCTTTTGGGCGGTACGGGTGTAGCTCTGGAAGCCCCTTTCGGATTCGGGGGTGGATGGCTGAAGGAGGTATGCTTTGTGGCGGATATCCGGCCGCCCACTCTTTCTGTCCACCGAGGTAGCTCGGCAAGATGTGAGGTTGCTATCCCAGATTGCTGGTTTACTGGCATGAAGGGTAGGGTAGGCAGGGTTCCATGCTGCATCTGCGCTTACTAGAGGGGTGTCGAGTCCTCTTGGGCGCTGGAGGGAGATTTCTGGCCCCTTTCTCCCTCCTAGGAACTATCCCTCACCGGTCCCCCTTTTTTTTTCTTTTTTTTATTTTTTATTTTTCTTTTCTCTTTCTTTTTTTTTCTTAAAACAAAAAAGAAAGCAGTAACCTAACCATGGACAGACCCTAGTCAATGAACCTGGTACCCCCGGGCCCCTTCTTGAAACGCACCCCGATCTGACCCGCCGCGTCTTTGGACCACTCTTCAGCACATTCCTCATGCTCTGTACCTATTGCCGGTGAAGTTTCCTCACCGCTTCTGGTATGAGGCTCGACTGACTCCTTCGATTATCAGACCTTCGCCTCTCTCTGACTTTGCATCCGGCCTCTCCCTTACGTGTGGCAATTTTTCAAATCGCCGACCCGATCCACGTCGAGACCAACTCTGGTCCACGCCTAAAAACGTCAACGACAATTTACTGCTTGATGATACTTCTCCTCCTACACCTTCTCGTTCTTCTCAGACGTTCTGACACGTCTTCATACCTTTCCACGTCAGTTTTCTGACTGAACAGGGGACTAAATTCTTCACTTTACGACCAACTTCTCACTGCCTATCTTTCTGGACCATAGGTATTGGCAAGGCTCTCCTACGGCCATGTTGGTAAAGATATTTCTTTTCATGCTCTTAAGCAGCGGTAACGCGCTCATTACCGTACAGAATGCTACCCAGGCTCGTGAGCTCTCTCGTCTTTACCATATAGATACTGTTCCTGTCACCCTTGAAAAACATCATTCCCTCAATTCTTGTAGTGGTACCGTTATTCTGCCCATACCATGTTCAACAAAATTTCCAGACCTGTGGCACGACATTCTAGAAACAGCTGGAACTCCCAGATCTCCCAATCCTCAAGGTTAGACACTTACGTTTCTTCATGCCCGTGGGCGGGGAGACGATTTTACCCTAGCAATGTGGCTCGTTTAACTTTTGACAGCCGAGAACTCCCATCCTCCGTTTATATGCAGGACATCGGTTACAGTTCGAAGGTGATCCCTACACCACAACAGTGTAGAAATTGCTGGCGATTTGCCATCCAGCGAAATATTGCAGCTCTATCGCGAATGCCCAGTCTGTGGTGCCGATGACCATTCTAATACGTCTGCAATCGATCTCCTCTTGGCCTTAACTGTCATGAGGCTCACCCTTAGTACTCTCGCCGTGTCAGGTCTATTTAAACGAAGCGGGAATTCGTTACCTCAAAGAGACAGAAGGGTTCCTTATGCCATGGCCGTTTCTCATCTCCGCCTCCAGGGAGAACTTCCCACGTGTTTTCTTATTCCCGTGTTTCAAAACGTATCCCCCATTTGGTATCCCATCTTCTACAACCACCTATGTGGTTACCTCTTCCCATAATCACCCTGTATCTAATCCTTTTGCTGTGTCCTCGGCTCAGCGTCCCTACTTCAACGCCCAGTCTAATCTCGCATCTTCGAGTTCTCTCTTACAAACCTCACGTAATCGACGAAGAGACCTCTTACGACACCTTTCCCAATCGTCCTCTTTCTTCAAAAGTCAAAAAAAAGGTTCGGTAACACCTCCTTTACCCATCTCCACCTCCTCATTTTTACCCTCCCAGTCTCTGTCCCTAGTTCTTCCCCTCTCACTGGTCAGTTACAGTGGCAGAGGTTCACCCCTCCTCTCGTAATGTACCTTCTCCCTGATCCCTCCCAAGTTTCTTCCTCTTCTGCCACCTCCCAGGCCTGTCTTTCTGTCCCCTGCCACGCTTCTCCAGTTCCCTCCACCTTTCGCCCTCCCTACCTTGGTACAGTCCAATTACAGTTCAATCTTTACTCATCCTCCCCCACCATTCCCAATATTTCTCCCATACGACATCTCTGAATCCGAAAACTTGAGCTATCTTGAATTATTCCAGAGACCAAACCAACAATGGACACTGATCACCTTCCGCTCTTCCTCTCTTCATCTGGCTCCATCTGCGCACTCCTTTCTTCACAACGCACCGTTCTTCGCTGCTTGAACATTTACATGCCTCGCATGTGGACTTTCTAACCCTTCTAGTCCGTAGGAACCTTACCTGCGGGATTTCAAGATCTTTATCATTGCCAATCATGGCCTTTTTACAGGGAATATCGCGGCCTCCCCCCCCCCACCCCCCAGGGGTTATCGGGGTAGCTTCAGATGTTACTCTCCCACGCTGTCTGGCCCCTGTGGTGTTTGCATACAGGAACCAAAATTACCTCTGCTGTTATTTCTCACATCTCAGGCTATAATTTATGGTTATCTTCAGATCCTTTTCTGATGGACCTTTAATGAAAGGCCCTTTTCTCCGCACTGATATTCGTTCCATCGCATTTGTTCATACTTCGGTGCATTCACAAGCAGCCCGTATCACTTACTAGGTGGTATACGCTCTGTTCTTTATAT